CCCCCCCCCCCCCCCCCCCCCGGGGGCAAATTTTTGCATCGAAAACACCCCCGGGGCAAAACTACCCAAACCGACATGGCTGTACGCCATGACACCCCAGGAAATGCAAGAAATGCGCAAATACATAGACAAAACCTAGCACAAGAGTTCATCGAGCCAGCCAAGCCACGGATTGCAGCACCAGTCCTCTTCAAAGAGAAAAAAGACAGAACTATGACACTGTGTGTGGACTTTCAAGGAATAAATGCCATGTGCGTACACAATCTATTCCCGGTCTCCCTCATGAAAGATATGCTATCTCACTTGGCCAAGGGAAAAGTCTTCACCAAATTAGACCTCAGAGAGGCATACTACCGAATATGGATCAGGGAAGGAGATGAGTGGAAAACAGCGTTCAACTGCCGCCTAGGGAGCTTCCAATTCAAAGTGATGTCTTTCGGACTGCAGGGAGCCCCAGCAGTGTTCAAGCAGTTAATAAACGAGGTGCTGCATGAGCACCTCTACAAGGGGGTCCTCGTCTACCTGGATTACATTCTCATCTACACTGAGACCATGGACAACAACATACCCCTCGTCCACCAAGTACTGGAAAATCTTCTGGAAGCCAACCTGTACGTCAAGCTATCAAAATGTGAATTCCACTGTGCACGACTAGACTACCTGGGCTACCGAGTGTCAAATGAGGTAATAGAGATGGATCCAGCCAAAGTACAAGCCATCCTAGGCTGGCAACCCCCTTGAACCTGCAGACACCTACAAAGCTGCCTAGGGTTCACGAACTTCTATAGGCAATTCATCCCCTCCTTAGCGAAGATTGCCAAACCCATGACAGACCTTCTAAAGACAGGGAGCCCAGGAGCAAAACCTCGCCCGGGACAACCTCTACAGTGGGACCTAACCTGCCAAAAGGCATTTGAAACACTAATAGAAATGTTTCCAAAGGAACTGGTGCTGAAGCATCCTGACGCTGAGCAACACTTTGTGATCCAAGCAGATGCCAGCGACATGGCAGTGGGGAGCGGTGCTACTCCAAAGAAACAACCAAGGAAATTTACAACACTGCACCTACACCTCCTGCATGCTCAGAGACACAGAGAGACGATTGGCCACATGGGAAAAGGAGGCTTTTGCGGTGAGATGGGCATTGCTAACCTAGAGACACCTGTTAGAAGGGGCTAGAAATCGTTTGAAGTCTGGACTGACCATAAAAATCTGGAGGCTCTCAGGACCCCGCGGAAACTATCACCCAAACAAGTCCAATGGGCTCATTACTTCAACCGGTTTGACTTCACACTAAAGCACATTCCAGGGGGGAGGAACTTTCTAGCTGATGCCCTCTCCTGCATGCCTCAGTACAAATTCGAACGGGAGGACGTAGTGGATGCCATCATTCCCTCTAGTCAAACAGCTGCCCAAGTGACCAGCAGGCGGCAATGCCGTGACCGGCAAAACCAACCACCAAGCGACCTAACCACGAGACTCAAAAACGAACTGCTAGCAGACCACTGTTTCCAAAACAACCAACACATCCTGACAAAAAGAGATGACCCCGCATGGAAGGGGATGAAACTCTACGTCCTGGAATCCCTACGCACCCTAATTCTCCAGAGGAGCCATGACGCCAAACCAGCAGGCCACTTTGGATTCNACTAAGCAAGTAGTGATCTCAAGATCTGCTAGTTTTGCAGAACAGAACAACTGGAACAAGATACATACTAATCATGAGGTGTTCATGCCAATACAGAGTTCTAATCTGTCGGAAGATGAGACCAAGTCAGATAGAGATGTAGAAGAGGATAGAACTATGATAAAATGTGAAAGCACAGATGACATAGATGTGGAAGAGGAGAGACTGGAAATAGTAACACAGGAACACATAAGTCCAAGAAGATCTGAGAGGAGTAATAAGGGTCTACCTCCTGAACGGTTTACTGCGAGTGAGGTCAGAGCATACAGTGTTAGGTATGAACCTCAAAATTACCAGGAAATGTTGGTAATACACAATGTATGTACAATTACTGAAAGATGTAAATGTTAATGTAAAAGATGCTGTACCAGTATTTGAAGACAATGCTGCATGTATAACAATGGAGTCAGGAGAGCGCGTAGTAAATAGAAGTAAACATGTAGACACTAAATACTGTAACGTAAGAGAAGCTGTAAAGGAGAAACTGATCAGATTACAGCATTGTTCTAGCGACTGCAATATGGCTGACAAATGTTAACAAAATCTGTATCTGTGGAAAAGTATAAAGACTGTCAAAGCATTTGGATTATCAGCTTTAAATGGGAGGAGTGTCAGGGACTGAGGATTTAATAGCTGCCAGCTGATATAAGTGTTGTAAACTGTAAACTGTAAGCTGATGCAATGAGGATGATTCAGCAATACATGCATAGCCAGTTTAAGACTGATGGGGTCCACACAAGTCATTTACCGTTTTAAGAGGTGTTTCTATATAGGTGGCCATTAGAGGGTGTTTCTCTCTTTCTCGTCATGTATCTCATTTCTCTCCTTGTGTCCGTAGCTGAGTGGTAGGGGATTTATCTACCATGTGTGTTCTGACCCCCCCTCCNTTATCAGCACAAATAAAAACACAAATATAACAAAGGCAACAGTAAAAATATTGGGTTTCTGTCGTGATGGACTCTTGTGACGAGCCGATTGACAGAGAATGGAAGCAATTAGCTTCCTCCCATAATTGGGGCATACCAGGGGTTGTGACTTATATATATATGTTGTATTTGTGCTGATAAATAAATAAAGCATATATATATATATATATGGTTATCAATAGTTATTCTGAAAGTCAAAATACACAAAAGCACTCTTCAAAGGTTGCTAAACAAATTTAGCAGGATAAAAGAATACAGTGCATTCAGAAAATGTTCAGACTCCTTTCACTTTTGTCAATTTTGTTATGCTGCAGTCTGATTCTATAGTTGTTGGAATTCATTTTTTCCTCATTAATCTACACTCAGTATCCCATAATGACAAAGTGAAAACAGAATTTTAGAAATGTCTGTAAATTTATTAAAAAGAAAAAACTGAAATATCACATTAGTATACAGTAAGTATTCAGACCCTTCACTCAGTACTTCGTTGAAGCACCTTTGGCAGCAATTACAGCCTGGAGTCTTTTTGGGTATGACGCGACAAGCTTTGCACGCTTGGATTGGGGGATTTTCTGCCATTCTTCCTTGCAAATCCTCTCAAGCTCAGTCAGGTTGGACAGTGACCATTGGTGGACAGCCATTTTCAGCTCCCTCCAGAGATGTTTAATAGGGTTCAAGTCAGGGCTCTGGCTGGGCCACTCTACAACATTCACAGAGTTTAGGACACTCTAGGACAGGGCTGTCAAACTTGCGGCCCATGGGCCAGATGCGTCATGCACTGGCCACACCCACACCCAGTTTAGCAAAGGGGGGGGGAGTCCTGACATGTCACGTGACACCACTGTGACAATGTGAGTTTGACACCCCTGCTCTAGGACATTCACAGAAATTCACAGAACTTTACCCCACATGGTTTTTGTAGAGATAAAATGAACAGAGGTTCCCGTGTAAGCTGCCTTGAGCTCCCAGAGAGAAAGTCAAATCTAAATCTAAATGAATAATGACTATGTAATTAACTGCCATTGATATAGTGATGGCTACCAGTTTAGAAGAAGGGAGATGGGGCATATGCATGGAGGATCAGGCCACCAATGACTACAAAACATACAATTTTTCAGTGACCGTTTGAAATTATAACACTGAATGAAGGGACTTACAACACCTTCCCAATGTTCCAACCATTGCAGTGCCCCTGTGTTCACAGGATCAAAATTTGGGTGCTTGGCAGTGTGCCCACCCTTACAATTGTGGGAGCACTGCAAAACACCCCCCCCCCCCCAAACCTGGCATTCTCTGTGCCCCACCAAACCTGGAAGGCCTCAGCTAGCTAGGTCTAGCAACACCTAGGACTCCTCCCTCCCTCACCACTGCTGAGAGGCCTGGCCTTCTCCTTGCCCCACCACACTGGAGTCCACTTACCTTTCCTTTTCCCTGCATCTGCTGGCAGCCTCACCCAGCCCATGCAAGTCTCAGCTAGAATGCTAGCAAAGGCAGTCTTCCTCAAGGGTGACCAGGAACAGGAGCTTCACTGGCATCCTTGAGAAAGAATAACTTTCTTGAAAACCGCAACAGGATGAGCAACAAGGCAGACATGTTGGTGTCTCACTTAACAACCACAGCAATTTAGGACCAAAATTACTGACTCAATTGCTTAATTTGTGTGTCATTCTTTAATTCAAAATAAAATGTTCCAAAATACATAAGGTATCCATATAAACAAGTTTATGAGCATAAACATTGTTAATATTTCTTGTTAATATTGTAGAAATGATTCATAATTTGATGTTTTTATTATTATAATTCAGGGCTGTAATTTGGCCCTAAGGCATTTTAATTAGGCTTTTTCAGATTCAGTTCAACATACTACATGGAAATAAGCAGCTAAAAAAGTAAAAATTAAGAATAAAAATAAAAATGAAACAACACATGAACTGAGTAATTAAAAAAAAAGAAAAATGAACATCCAATAGGGAAAAAATAACAGCTACAGAAAGATTAAAAGGATATCATAGAGTACAAACATATGTACAACAAGGATATAAATTTTAAATAAAATTATCATACATATGACAGCATACATAGAAATCCGTGTATCTGTAAATACATAGAATAAGTAAAGGAAATATGTATGAAGTGAACAAAATGACTTAAAAATAGTATTTGTTTACAGCAAGGACTGTTTCTTAAACAAAGGAGAACTGTTTCTATTCATTTTAACAGGTGTGTTTGCTCTTTTACAAGCCTATGCTTTCCTGCAGTATCTGAGAGAAAGACTAACAAAGCAAGAATTTCAGGCGTTATTCTTCTTAGGTATATCATTGGCTGCTGCAGTTGTATTCCTGAGCGTTATCTATTTAACATATACAGGTAAGTAATATCCAGGAAATATTTCCTGTTTTTAGAGAAAACTTTCTGACAGCTCAAAATATTTCTTAGGTAGAGATGGAGAGAACGGAACAATGATGAAAACCACCTTGAATGCATTTGGGTCAATATAAAAGGGGGGGAAATGACATTGCCATAGGTGTATACTATAGGCTACCCAACCAAATAGAGGGAATAGATGAACTTTTTGCTAGTCAGTTAACTAAGGTATGTAGGAAGCACATCACAATAGTAATGGGGGATTTTAACTACCCCGACATCAACTGGGAGACAAACTGCACCAAGTGGAAGATCAAACAGGTTCCTGACAAACCTAGCAGACAACTTTGTCTCCCAAAAAGTAGAGAACGGAACTAGTGGGTCAGCCATATTGGACTTAATTCTCACTAACAGATGAAATGATAAAAGGTGTTGAAGCTACAGGAACCTTGGGAGGGAGTGATGATGCAATATTGGAATTCAACATTATGCAAGCACAAGCAATAGAACAAAGTCAAACTAGAGTCTTGGACTTTAAGAGAGCTAATTTCAATAAACTTAGAGTTTGGGAAGGATCCCATGGATGAGAATCCTCAGGGGGAAAACAACTCAAGAAGCTTGGGAAATTTTGAAAAGTGAGCCCAAAGGTGCTTTTTTCAGAGGGAACTGGACTTTCTGGTTTTTCTTTGAAGATGATTCATTTCTCATCCAAGAAGCTTCTTCAGCTCTAACTGGATGGTGGGGAATCGAAGGATTTGTACTACTTGCAGACAGCTGGTCATTTGCATTATTTTAGAGACTCGTTGAGGCCACCTGGAGGTTTATCTGTGTCATCAGGGTCACTTGAGTCATACAAATGGGCGTGGAGCCTTCTTGGAACTGTTGAAAGGACTGTGTTGTAGACTGGAGATAGATGATGTTGTATCCCTCCCCCGCTGTTGAGAGTGGGCTGTTCAATTTTGACATAGATAGCCTCTTTGGCCCCTCTTTCAAACCAGCGGTCGTCTCTGTCCAAAATGTAGACTTTGCTGTCTTTGAAAGAGTGGCCTTTGTCTTTTAAATTCAGATGGACTGTTAAGTCTTTCTGTATGCTCTGCTTAACTCAGGTTGGGTTTATTCTCCTGTGTTGTGCCATGCGTTTATGAAGTGGTTGTTTTGCTTCCCCAATGAACACATCTGCACATGGCTCACTGCATTGTACTGCATATACCATGTTGCTCAGTTTGTGTCTGGGTGTTTTATCCTTGGGGTGGACAAGCTTCTGCTTTAGTTTATTCTTGGGTTTGAAGTGTGCACATATGTTGTGTTGGCTAAAGATCCTCCCGAGCTTTTCCGATATTCCTGCAATGTTGTCATTCCATCTCTCAACAGAGGGGGAGGGATATGACCGGAGGTGGGTTCCTACCGGTTTGGACCGGTTCAGCCGAACCGGTAGTGGTTTGGTGGCCTGGGTCTCTGTAACCGGCAGCGACCCGGACCTTCCACGCCCCTGAACCAGTTCTTCTCATAGGTGCCGCCATCTTGTTTTTTGCTCCTGCACACGTGCAGAGCAATTTTTATTGCACTGTCTGGCCACACCCCCGAACCAGCACGCTCTGAGGCTCACCCTGCCTCACCTTTACCATGTGGCTCCACAGAGTTTGTTGTTAGTTGTGGCTCCTGCAGTTGCTAAGTGAGGAGAGGCAAACCAAAGCTGCTCTTTTTTAGTCGGATAGTAGCTGCTGTGTATTTTTAAGCCACTGGCAGTTTTTGGCCATTTATTATGTGCCTGAAAGCACCAGCCAGCCTGCTTCGTTCTCTGGCTCCTCTCCTTCCCTCGCTCGGCTGCTACTGCTGGGGTGCTACCAGGGCAAGAGTGTGTGTGTGTGTGTGTGTGTGTGTAGAGGGGGGCAAGGACCATTTGGCTCTGAGGTAGAAGCAGCCGCAGTAGTAGGAAAATGAGGCTTCTTTGCCAGCCTCCCAGCTGGCAAAACAGAAATTTTCGCCGGTTCGGTGGGCGTGGCTAGGTGGGGGGACATGTGACTGAGTGGACGTGTGTGTGAGTGATGTCAAATTGGCCATGCCCACTCAGTCACATGTCCCCTCACCTAGCCACGCCCACAGAACCAATAGTAAAAAAATTTGAAACCCACCCCTGGATATGACATCATTTATCTCCAGTCTACAATGCAGTCCTTTCAACAGTTCCAAGAAGGCTCCAAACCCATTTACACTACTCAGTTGACCCTGATGACACAGATAAACCTCCAGGTGGCCTCAGTGACTCTCTAAAAGAATGCAAATGACCAGCTGTCTTCAAGGAGTATAAATCCTTCCATTCCCCACCACCCAGTCAGAGCTGAAGAAGCTTCTTGGATGAGAAGCGACAGGTCTTCAAAGAAAAAAAAAGTCCAGTTCCCTCTTAAAAAAGCACCTTTGGGACAACTATGACCCGGATGACTGAGAATCTCCATAGACATTTGAAAAGTGAGATTATAAATGCCCAGTCTAGCACAATTCCAATAAAGAAGAAAAATAACAGCTCTCAAAAGAAACCAGCATGGCTGCACAAAGAACTCTCTAATAAATTGAAAGACAAAAAGGACAAGTATAAAAAGTGGAAAGGGGGGCACATAACTAAGACAGAAAATCAGCAAATAGCCCAAGCCTGCAAAGATATGAAGTCAGGAAAGCTAATGTACAAAATGAACTAAGACTTGCAACAAAAGTAAAAAATAACCCCAAAAAAGCTCAAAAGTCAAGGAAACAATTGGTCCATTAATGGGAGAAAATAGCAAGAAGGTGACAAGCAGCAGGAGAGATAGCAGAACTGCTTAACTTTTTTTTGCATCTGTCTTTACACAAAAGGTGGAAAAAAGTCCAAAACATTTTTAAAAACAGTAGTATAAAAAACAGAACTCAGAAATATGAGTTAAAGTAGGCAAGAAAATGGTAAGAGAACACCTGTCCACCCTAGATGAGTTCAAATCATCAGGACCAGATGGATTACTGTTGTGGCCCAGCCGTTGGAGCTGCCGATGGACTCTGATAGCGAGGACCCCTATGAGTCGGCTATGGAAGATGTGGAGGACCCTGGGCAGGGTTCCGACTCAAAGCAGGGACCAGAAAGGCTGGTTGGCCACCAGGAGGCGCCTAAGGCATGGAGCAGTGGGGAAGATCAAAGGGAGTTTGTCCCTGATGCCAAGCAACGGAGGGCGGAGAAACGGAGGCAGCAGTTACGGAGACAGACTCCTAAGAGATAATCAAGTCCAGGTGGTTGTGGCTTGGCCCCTCCCAAGAAAGTATATAAGAAGAGACTTTGGGAAAAGTCCTTTTGCAGGACACAACTGTTTGTAGTAATCTGGAGAAATCTTGTCTGGTCTGCCTTGTGTTCCTGGGTCTGTTGGAGTCT